GGGAGCCAGGGGCCGGGGCGGCCACGGGCAGCGGCGGGCTGCGCTGGGGCCCCAGCCCAGGTTTCGGCGGAGTGAGCACGCGGGCCACGTAGGCCTCGGCCTGTGCGTCGGGGTCGAGCTCCGGCTCCGCATCGCAGTCCCAGGCGCAAGGATCCTCACACGGCCCTGGAGACAGCTCCATGGCGGCCGGGTGGGCGCGGCCAGCCCGCCCTGGCCTGCCAGCTGCGGGGCCAGCGTCCTGTCTCCTAGGCAGCGCGAGGGCACTTCCGGTGCACGCTGATGACGCCGAAGAGCCGGCCGCAAGCTTTCCCACGGCACTGATGCTCCGCGCCCAAGGACCCCGTGCTGGAGGGGTCTCCCTCCGGAATCGTCTTCACCGGGCGCGCCAGCTGAATTCCTCATGCCCGTTTTTGTCTTAAGCGCGGCTCTGTCGACGGGGCCACCTACAGGAGACACTCCGCTCAGAAACGGGGAAGCTGGTAACTGAGAATGCGGCGAGTCACATTGCAGACCGACTGAAAGTCATCTTGATCGGAATGTGGTTGATAGGTGCCGAGAAGTCGGTCCTTCGCCCGGATGGACCCCACGTACAACAGAACGAGCCACCGCCCGGCCCTGCACCACCCTCACGATTGTTACTGCTGCAGCCACTGTGTCAACCCATCTTTGCCGGGGGCCTTCCTCCTTCGCTGGCCTCTACCTTACCAAGCATCATGTCCTTCTCCAGGGACTGGTCCCTCCTGGAAACATGTCCAAAATACCGTTTTTTCCTTTAAGCCTGTTTGGATCCAGGCAACGTTGATAAAGCCCCTCTGCCTCTTCTCAAGACTGCATGGCCACAGTCCCCCACACTCCCTGCAGTACTTCTGATACTTAATGCAGGGCTTTTGCTACTTGGTGTCAATTACCATTGCTGAAATAAATGCATTTTGCTGAAGGAATACTTGCATTAAAATGCAGACCTCCAATAGTACTCCCGAAATTAAGGAGTGACATCGGCAGGGTCAGTGAACTGTTAACAGAAAGGTTAGCGTTTCAAACCGTCTGCTCTGCAGACTACCAAAGAAACCCACTTTCCTCCAGCTGATTCCAACTCAGTTACCTCATGGAGGGTTTGCAACAGCTCAGCTTTCCCAGACAGGTGAGGCAGGTGGGTTTGAATTGCCAGATGCCCAAATGACAGCACCACCTGGGTCTTTCTTACACTAAAGGTGTATGCGCACCTGACTGGACGAACTACAAGTTCTCAAAAGCATAGAATGGATCTTGTTCTAACCTTAGGGACCGCCAGTGCTGTCTCCCCCGACCCTATGAAATCTGTTCAGCTCTTTTGACTTCATCAATGCTTCCCTTTACTTTAGCTACTCTACGTTCAAGTGTATATTCCGATATCTCTTCTCTAACTCGGGTGAAATATGCCATGGCCAGACTCTGGATCTCACGAACTTTCCCCTTTCCCATTCCAATCACAAGTACGAGCAATACATCCCGATGGCATGTCTGCTCACTCTTCAGACTTTCCAAGTTGGTCTCCCAAAATTAAATTCACTGCCCTGGGGTCAATTCCAACTCTTTACAGGACATGGGTGGAACTGAGATGACCACTTTCTAGGAACAGGAAGCCTCATCATACCTAGGGATTTCTAACTGCTGACCTGGCAGTCAGCAGCCCAGCACATACCCCACTACCACACCCTGCACTATAGGGTTCCCTCCTCGGGAGTTGGTAGAATTCTCCAATTGCTTCTTCACCATTAGTAGCTGGTGCATACATTGGAGTGTGTCACTAACTGGTTTCCCTTGTAGGCGTACTGATATTTACCCAGGTCTGGCATACTCCAGGATATACTGCATTGTGTTGCAAACAGGACCAATTTCCACGTCTCAGCCACGGTGACACTAACATGGTGTCCCAGAGGACCGGCACTAAGTCGAGCCTTTCAGCCTCAGACGACCACTGCAAGGCCTGTGCCCTTATATCAACTTCTGACCATCTCGTTCGTCCCATATTTTAGAGGGAAGAAAACGGGGGGCTGTCCCAAGCAACGTGCCTGGTTGTTTCCCTGCTTTCCCAGCTCTTTCCCCGGTCCAATTTCTTTGCATCCCCAATTCTAAAGCTTTTCAGGACCCCCACACCCCTTCCCTCCTACCAAAATCAAGGAGACAGAAGGCCAGATGGAGGTGAAGGATTTCACAAGAAACTGATCTTTACTCAACAAAGTTCTACACCAGTGGAGTCTCAACGCCACCCCGGGCGCCAATCCCCAGCACAGCACAGTATTGGACAGACCCAGCAGCCCGCAAG